TCTCGTTCTCCCTTTCTCTCCTTCCCCTTTCTGTTTCCGTCGGAATTGAAGGCGCTTTTTTTTAATTGTTTTAACGGTTTGACGGAACATATTCCCTCGGAATTTTCACCTTCCGACGGAAAATTCCGTCGGAAAAAGATTTCCGATGGAATATTCCGTCGAAACTTGAAAATTCCGAGGGAAATAAAATCCGTCGGAATATTTCCAACGGAATTTCCGTCGAGAGGTGAAATTTCCGACGGATTTTTCCTACAACTCCAATTTCCGCCGGAAATTTCGAATTTTTCGAGGGAATTTTAGTCCATCGGAGCAATTCCGTCGGAAAACAACCTATTTCTAGTAGTGATTAGGCACATCAATAGAGTTCATGCAAAAGTTAAAAGAATTTTCAATATTTGCATCAAGACTAGAAACATGAGAATCTCTATCACAAGTATCCTGAGCAAACCAAACAAAGAAATTCCAAGCATCATCCAAGGACAAAGCACAAAATTCACCATTTAACATACCTTCAACCATACCCCTAGTATATTCTTCATTTCCCAATAAGCTATTTCACATGCTTTCCAAAGAGAACAGCCATGGAAACTAAGGAAACCATCTAGTTTTTCAAAGTAAGCATAAAAGGGTTCATCATCAAATTGAGGAAAAGATAAGCATGTAAGTTTTTTTAAACACAAAACAAAGAAAAGCAAACAAAAATTAAACTACACACAAGAACCTAGCTAATCTAATCAACAGAAACTAATAAACGCCTTAGTCCCCGGCAACGGCGCCATTTTGATAAGTAAGTGAGGGGGTTAGGTCGTTGACTAACCTCCTAAAATCAAACAATATTTATAAATTCCTAACTAACCACTAAGCAAGCATAGAGCCAAGTTCGGAGTCGAATCACAAGGACTAAGTGTACTAATTTGGGCTAATTAAACTAGTAGGAAGGATGTGAGGTAGAGAGAGGAACAACTATAACACTACTTTATGTAATCAACAAAATACCAGGGAAAGGGGAATCCAATTACATAAATGAATTCAACAACAAATTGCAATTAGATGATCATGGTCTCAATTAGGAACAATCAACACACTCAACTCACTCACGCGCAATTAAGCATGCTAATTATCCTACTAAGCTAATTCACTCCCGTGCAACTAGCTAATCTAGCATCACTACTACAAATAATGGAATAAGAAACGCCCTTTACAAAACGGTTGTCTTAGATAGGTGTTCTTTACAATAATATAAAACACTTATCTCTTGAAGCCGTTTTAGATGTGAATGAATATAGAACAGTTAGCAATCTTAGCATACATAACCGTTCTTTTTTTTTTTTTTTTTTTTTTTGCACATATAAAAATAAATTTATTTAATTAATTGAATGAGATGGAAAGGTGGTCTTTGGTCCGTTGTGTATCTTTTATCCATCCACTCTATAATTCAATGCTTCCCAAAATTTTGAACATCCCGCCTCAAAGACAATTTTCGCTTATATAATCTTAAATTATTTAACCTAGCTAAAACTCAAGCCCTTCATAACCGCACAAAAGGTGAACCTAACTTTCACCTTGTGATCTCCTTCTCTCTCTTTACCTCTTGATCTTCTACTCTCTCTTTCTCCCCTTTCTTTGCTTTCTATTGAAATACTATACATTTTTAATCAATTTCCTTGTCAATTATTCTAATTTGATATCTCAACATTTTTATGATTTACAGAGAGCTATAGTATTAGTTCAAAAGCAAGTTTATTGTCTAATTCCGATATCCGCTGCCATTGATGAATTTGTAAGTTTTTATTGTTTGTTCCTTTGAGATATTTTAATAACCATAACTGATAATAATTTTAAGGATTCTGGGTAATTTTAAAAATATTCATAGTTTTATTTAAACTTTTCGACTCAAATTTACTTTTATTTAGATCATTTCATCTACTCTGTAGATCTTAGACCTTAATAATTTAATTGTTTTATTTTGTAGGTTTGTTTGATTTTTTTACATTAAGTTTGTTTGGCTTATTATTTGCTGACTATATCGGAATCTATGCGGTTTATAGCGTAGATGAGTTATTGATGCGGCTTATGTGATTTGTGCGATTGACGATAATTACGGCGAAGGACTTTGAAGAACAGACGTGTTTGGAGCTGTGAAGCCAGTTATTTCAATAAATTTTAGTTTTATCAAATCAAAGTCATTCACTTTCTTTTTTATTTTTTTTATCTAGCTTATGGTTTTTTTATTTTTGTGACTTGTAAATTTACCATTCGATTAATTTGATATAATGGTATATATGGTTTCTATACTACTACTGTAGGATATATGTTGATTTAAATTTTTCAACTTGTCGATTTATATACTTTTATCTTACGAAGTAATAGCAAATTTTGATTGGCTTTTTTTGTTTGCTAGCAATCGATTAATTCAAGAACAATAACGATTGATTATTAAGATGTCAAACTCTCTAGCACTGTGCATCATAAATTTTATTTATTTTTTGAAAAAAAAAAAAATCCAGCAAAGAGAACTGTTAAGTATGACAACCGCTCTCTTTTCCTTTCACTTTTTTACTAGCTTTCGTGAGGCAGAAGAGAACGGTTGTCTCACCTAACAGTTTTCTTTTCTTTTGCATATAGAATGCCTTATAGACCCGTTTTGTATACTTTATACATCGCATAACAAAAAAAACGGTTGTAAGACGCTCTATAAAGCCTATTTCAACCGTTCTCTATTTCTTTTTTTGTAGTAGTGCATAGGTTTGGAAGGATCTAGACTCTCAATCAACTCACTTCCGCACAATTGATTGAAATCACAATTAGAAACCTAGAATCAATTAGCTAAAAAGACTCTAAGCAATGTAAACATCATCCACACACAATAATCAAGAATCAATTGCATACTAATCACAATCAATCATTCAATTCATCAACATAACATTCATCCCTTTCCCTGGAACAAAATCTAAGCAATCATAATGAAGAAAAACATGGAAAACAAGGTAAAACAAGAATCAAACAAGTAATCTAATTAACTACACTAATCAACAAAGAATTAAGCAAAAACAAGAATTAAAGAAAACAATAAAGGTGAGAGAAAGTTAGAAATGCTCATTGAATAGATGAGAAGAGAATCCACATAATTGTGCTTCTTCAAACTCTCAATTCTCCACTGAAATCCCTAGCTTTCTCTCTCTAAAACTACTCCTAAGCTAGCCTAATCTAGAGAGAGAAACTCTCAACCTAAGCTAAAAATATCAAAGAGGAAATAAAATGAAGTCTTCCCTAAAAAAAAGAAGGTTCGTACATATTTATAGTTATAAGAGAAAAAGAAGAAAAATAAGCAAAATCGCAAAACAGGGCTGCTCAGGCATACTGATCTGCTCGGCCAAGCAAATGCTTATGCCCGAGAATACCCTCTTTTAGCTCGGGCTTTTGCTGAAGAAAGAAGACCGTCGTGCCAAGGTGGAAATTGTTGTGCCACGGTGCTGGTTGGTGGTACACGTTGCGAAGCTTGGTGCGAAGAGTTGCTCAGGCATGCAAAACAGCACAATGTGCGTGCCCAGCACAAACACGATCCTTCTTCTTCAATTCTTGAGCATGCACTCTTGCCCATGCAACTTGCCCAAGCCACTATGCTTTGACTTCCAACTTGATTTTCTTGCGCTCTAACTTCTCGTACTCGGTTTTGTTGACTTCAAAAGCTCGTGTAGGGCTTCTTCCTCGACATTTAAGCCTCGAAAAATCTCGACACACCTACAAAACAAGTCAAACAAAACAGAAAGCGAGAGAATAACAAAGAAATGCGTAAAATGATACGAAAGCCATTAAAAGCACACATTTCTCTAAACTCACACACAAGCACGCAAATCAAGCATTGTTACCTAAAAACACAACTAAAAAGGCTAAGAAACGAGCATAAACTAAAGAAGAGACCTACCCTGTGAATGCCATAAATGACACTCATCACCCCGATGGGAAAATCACTACTCCTATCACCATCGGAAGGGCCGAGCAGCAAAGAATATCATGGCCGAATGATGTCCCATCGATCTACAATGTAATCATGGGAAGACCCATGAAATATCAAGTACAAGGAGTCGTCTCCACATATCATCAGCTGATGATATACATCTCGGACGAAGGCTTCGCCAATAGGATCATTGGGAGCCAAGAGGCTGCCCAAAAATGCATCTACAACTCCGTCAAGCCCTCAAAAAATCATCATGAGGACGAGGACGGAGATGAAAAAGAAAAAGAAAAGGACCGAAGCATTAAGAAGCACAAGGGCCTAAGTGCTTCGGCCCAAGGGACCCTACCCAAAGAAAACTCAGTGGGGGTGAAAAGGCTGGCTCTTCTTCTGAAGCAACAGATTCAGAAGACCAGCCGAAGTCCGAAAAACCTGCTGACATCGACGACAAGCCAGATAACGAAGAGTCCGATTCCAAAGCAATGGAGCTGGACCTCAAACCGAGTAAATTGAGTTGACCGAAGGAGACCCAGAAAAGTTGAGGAGCATCGGGCTGGAACTTGATCCAAGTATCCGAGTTGAGCTTATCCAACTCCTTCAGAACAACCGAGATGTTTTCACTTTCTCGGCTGCCGACATACCTGGGATCAATCTGAACCTCATCTCCCACTAGTGGAACAGTGACCCAAGTTGTCGACCTCTTAAGAAAAAGAAGTAGAATTACTCTGCCAACAAGAACCGTGACATTGCCATTGAAGTCAAAAAGCTTCTGGATGCAGGCTTCATCGAACCCTGCATGTATCTAGAATAGTTGGCTAATGTGGTGATGGTTCAGAAGGTCAATGGTTCCTAGAGAATGTGCGCTGACTTCACGGACCAAAATAAGGCTTTCCCGAAGGATTTCTATCCCTTGTCGAGGATTGATTAGCTAGTCGACTCGAAAAGTGGCCATGCTCTGCTTAATTTCATGGACGCATTCTCGAGGTATCATCAGATCTTTATGCAACCCGACAATCGAGAAAAAATGGCATTCCTTACGAACGTTGGGGTGTTCAATTTCAAAATGATGCCCTTCTAATTGAAAAATGACGGAGCAGAGGCAGGTTGATCAAGTCTTTGCAGAGAAAAAATGTCGCAACATGAAAGTCTATATGTTAATGATTCCATCGTAAAATAAATAAATAAATAAATAAATAAATAAAAACACAAACCATGTTGCAGACCTAGCCAAGACATTCGCCTGCCTAAAAAAGCGTCAAATGAAGCTGAATTCGAAGAAGTGTGTCTTCGTCGTGAAGTTAGGCAAGTTCCTCGGGGTTAATGCCAATCCTGCCAAAGTTCAAGAAACGCTTGATCTTCCCGAGCCGAAGACAAAAAGGGATGTTCAGCGACTGACCTGGCGAATGGCAGCATTGTCTAGGTTCATTTCCAAAGGGATACCCTTCTCAAAGGCTCTTAAGCTGCCCAATACAACAGAGCTCATTTGGGATGATGAGCAAAAAGAGGCCTTCAAGCAACTCCGTGAGCATCTGGCTCAACTCCCGACACTAGCCCATCCGGCCGAAGGAGAAACTCTGTACCTGTACGTGGCGATCAACTCAGCCACTGTGAATGCGATCTTGTTGGAGGAGGAAGACAAAGTCCTGAAACCGATCTACTTCGTCAGCCACACTATGTTGGATGCCGAGACCCGCTGCCCCCTACTCGAAAAAGTTGCATATGCAGTAGTGGTAGCTGCTCAGAAGTTAAGACCCTACTTTGATTGCCATCAGATAATGGTCTTAACAGATCAACCTCTGGAAAAAGCTCTCGGCAAAGTGAAAAAATCTAGCAGGTTGACGAAGTGGTCCTTTGAGCTCACTGAGTTCAGCATAAGCTATCAGCCGAGAACAGCCATCAAGGCACAAACTCTGGCGGATTTCCTGGCCAAATGCTCATACCAGGACAAGCTGGACGAAGAAAAGAAAATCTGGACTGTTTTTACAGATAAGTCTTCCATCGTAAATGGTTCGGGGGCGGGGGGTAGTACTTTGATGAGTGTCATTTATGGCACTTAATTGGTAGTATTTTAGGATGTGTTTGGTTTCATTTTTGTAGCTTTCTTTCCCTCTTTTCCCTTAGTTTTGATATTTTGTTCCTTAGTTTGTCTTTTCTTTGCTTATTTCGTGTTTTCTCTTATTTTTGTAGATTTTCTTGTGTTTTCTTCTTTATTTATTCTTCTTCATTTGATTTGTAGGTGTAAGGTGAAGCTTGAGACTCGTCACGATGATTTTCCGGGGTGGAAGAGACTCAAAGTGCAAGATGGAAGCTTATACATTGCTCATAAGGCAAGGAATGACTAGCTTCAAGAATTGGTGATTGCGCTCTCATGCTATGCTCGCACAAGATTTCGGTGTTGAACCCATCGCAAACTCCATTTCGGAACTGCCATACCTAGTGACGATTAAGAGGAGCGCACCATCTACATCAAGAGCGCACCTTGGAAGGTGTCCTACTCTAGTGGCGCAGGCGTGCAAGCTTCTTTTGCGGGCGTGCCACCTGGGGTCTCTGTTCCATACCCAGATCTTCACGGGCGCGTAAGCTCGAGAGAGGGCGCACCCGGCAGGGTCTATTTTTGGACTTCTAACCTATTTCTTTCTAGTTAGTTATACTATAAATAGTTGTTTCCTTATATTTTTCAAAAAAAACGTGAATTAGACTTGAATTTCCATTTATATACTAGATTTTAGAGAGAGAAACTTAAGAGAGAATTTGTTGATTACAATTTTTGATCTTCATTCACATTGAATTCAAGCACATTTCCTTTGATCAATCAAGTTTGTAAGATTCTTCTACTTCTTAGTTCAATTTCTTTGCATTTTGATTTTGATGATTGTTGCAAGTTCAAGTTCTTTGATTGTTTGATTTTGATTAGTATGTATTGCAATTATGATGATGTTGATGATGATAAGATTAGTTTTCTTCTTTCAATCCATTATGCTTAGAGAGATGATTCTTTGCTAGGGTGATGGACTGATGGTGAAACATGCATGAATGATGGATGATTGCTAATTAGGGGATTTTGATTGATTGAATGTTGTGATTAAATTGATTGATAGAATTATGCATGTGTTTGGCTTGATAAGAGTAGCTAACCTAGATTTTCAAGCTAGATTGCATTATAATTCCTAATGACATAACCACTTGATTTAGGTTTTACTTTTATTAATCGATTTTGAATTATGATTCTCCTTGATTAGTCATTCATAGAGGAAACCTAGCTTGACCTCTAGGAGATAACCTTTTGATTTCTTTCGATTGCAATTACTATTAGTCCTTGCAATGTTTGGTTGATTTGAT